ATTCTTCCAAATGGAACAAGGTGTCAAGAAATTCTTTGAGAACTATGGTTAGATTAGGAAATACATTTCAATTTGATGGTGACAAGTTCATAATCTACTCCTCCTTAAAGAATGAAAGCTTGGATGATTCATTGCATGTGAATGAGGAAGGGAAGTCAACTTTATGATGGAATGTAAGACTCAAGATTGCATGAGGTGTAGCTCGTAATTAGTTTCCTTGTACAAGGGGTTCAACTCACTGAACTTGTCATTAATCTTACTAAACTTGTCATTTACTGCTTATCAGAAGTAGTTGCTGTCAGAAATCTGCAAATTTTAATTTCAACAGATAAATTTGAAATTGTATGAAACCTTATGGGAACTTGTTATTTGCTATACTCAATTTGTCATTTGTCATAGTAAACTCGTTACTTCGTAAATCAATGTGAAAATTCAGTCATTTTGACAGAGAAATTTGAAATTGTGTGAAAACCTGATGGAACTTGTCATTTGCCAAACTCAACTTATCATTTGCCATAGTAAACCTTGTCACTTCATAAGTCAATATGAAAATTCAGTCATTTTAACGAAGAAATTTGAAATTGTATGAAAATCTCATAGGAACTTGTCATTTGCTATACTCAACTTGTTATTTGCCATAGTAAACTTGTCACTTCATAAATCAATGTGAAAATTCATTCATTTTTTTGAAATTATATGAAAACCTTATGGGGACTTGTCATTTGCCAAACTCAACTTGTTATTTGCCATAGTAAACTTGTCACTTCGTAAATCAATGTAGAAATTCAATCATTTTAATGGAGAAATTTGAAATTGTATGAAAACCTTATGGGAACTTGTCATTTGCCAAACTCAATTTGTTATTTGCCATAGTAAATTTGTCACTTCGTAAATCAACGTGAAAATTCTGTCATTTTGATAGAGAAATTTGAAATTGCATAAAAACCTTATGGAAACTTGTCATTTGCCAAATTCAACTTGTCATTTGTCATAGTTAACTTGTCACTTTATAAATCAATGTGGAAATTCAGTCATTTCAATAGAGAAATTTAAAATTGTATGAAATTCTTATGGGAACTTATCATTTGTCATATTCAACTTGTTATTTGTCATAGTAAACTTTTCACTTCGTAAATCAATATGAAAATTCAGTCATTTTAACAGAGAAATTTGAAATTGTATGAAAACCTTATGTGAACTTGTCATTTGTCAAACTCAACTTGTCATCTGCCATAGTAAACTTGTCATTTCATAAATCAATATGAAAATTTAGTCATTTTAACAGAGAAATTTGAAATTGTATGAAAACCTTATGGGAACTTGTCATTTGTCAAACTCAACTTGTCATCTACCATAGTAAACTTGTCATTTCATAAATCAATATGAAAATTTAGTCATTTTAACAGAGAAATTTGAAATTGTATGAAAACCTTATGAGAACTTGTTATTTATCATACTCAGCTTATCATTTGTCATAGTGAACTTATCACTTCTGATAAGGTTTTTATACAAGTTTACATTTCTCTTCGTAAATGATAATTTCCAGAATTCTTTGACAACAACCAGTTTTTTACAATGAAAGGAGGTAACAGTTGTTAATTCGAGTATATCAGTAGGAGATGAGGTTGTAGAATAAAGAGAGATTATGGAGAATGAAAGCTTTTATATGAAGAGTACTATATTAGGCTATTAGCATTACATGTTTTGCAGAAAATTAAATATGGAAGCTACACGGTTAACATGTTTTCATTTTTCCCATTGCAAATTAATGGGTTGGGAAAAACATAGAAGAACGTCACGGTTCTAGAGAAGAAGAATGAAATCGAAGGAGAGTAGAAGAAGGAAAGAGAAGAAAGAGGGGGGAGAGAGAGAGAAAGGAAGTCAGAAATTTACGTTTCCAGAGAGGGAGAGTAGGACAAAGAGAGAGAGGAAGAGAAGAAGGAAAGAGAAAGAAATGAGGTGCTGGAAGAAAGAGAAAAGGAAGGGCATTTTAGTCATTTGGGCTTCATTTCATAATTGCAATCTAGGACCCGGTCTCTGATGGCAATTTTAAGAATTGAAGTACCCAAATTGCCATTTTATATTTTCAAGGGTCTTTATTTGCCATTTCCCCTAGTTTTAAGGTTGATTTTTTGAGCAAATTATTGTTATTTTATTAAATTAAACATACGTCGGCATATTTTATAAACATGTAAAATTATAATATCGGCATTTTTTTGTCAATGCAATTAATAGTGTTACTATTAAAATAAAATAAAATAACACTTTACAAATCTAAGGGATAAAAGACCAAAATTACATTTTTATCATAATAATTTTATTCCTTGACTAATTTTTCCAAACAATATTAACATTTGTATATTATATCATATATGTTTATATTTAATATGAAAAAGTACAACTTTTAGTCCCCAAATTTTTTTCAAATTATTAAAAATTGCAATATCCTGTTCCTAGCTTTAAAGGGGTTGTAATAGCAAGTTAGCAGATGCATGTTGGCATCAAGGGGAAATCACAAATAAAGACCCTCGAATTAGCAAAATCACTCTATGGTCACCTGAATATGCTAAATTACTATGAGGGACCCGGTCTCATGACTAAATTACCAAATACCCCTCTTTAATTTTTTTTTTTTAAAACAAAGTCACTGCCTCACCGGAATCCGGCCACCGGCGCCGGAGCTCCGGCGGCCGCTTCCGGCCACTGTCGGCGGCCGGACGCCGGAGCTCCGGCGCCGGCGGCCGCTTCCGGCGGTCTTCCTTTTTTTTTTTTTTGAAACTGTGTTTTTTTTTTAAAATTGGGGGGAAGTGAGGTTAGGGGGATTTGATCCCCCAACCTAATGCTTCCCAAAATAAGGAATGACCATTGAGCCAACAAATTTTTGTTAACATTATGATGTAAAAAAAAAAAATAAGTTAACTCATTTACTCTTGTTCCAGGTGATAACAACAATACATTTGGAAATAACAAGTTCTGATTGTAAAATAACACGTTTGGAATAAAAATTTAACAATATGTTTTTTTTATAACAATAAATTTTATTGCAGGTAATAACAACAATACATTTAAAAATAACAAGTTCTGATTATAAAATAATAAGTTTGGGATTAAAATTTAATAACACGTTTTTTTTATAACAATACACTTTGTTTCAAGTGATAACAACAATACATTTAAAAATAACAAGTTCTGATTATAAGATAATAAGTCTAGGATTAAAATTTAACAACACGTTTTTTTATAACAATTAATTATTTTTATACTTTTAAAAAATAAATTATTTATAACTTATAAAAAATATTTTTAATATATTTATTTCTCTAAAAAAATACTTTTTAATCTGTATATCTATACAACTCATTATAAATCAAACTACTTCTTATAAATTATAAAGTATTTATAATAAGGCATTTTTTATTTATTAATCATAGTATAAATTTTATATTATTTCATTCTTTAAATATTAAAATAGTTTTTATATTTAAAGAATAAAATATTATTTTTAATTATAAATTAGAGATAAATTTCATTTATAAATTTAAGCAGTCAAAAAGTATTTTTAATCCACAATAAATTGTACTATTTATAATTTATAAGAAGTAGTTTGATTTATAATAAGTTGTATAGATATATAGATTAAAAATTTTAAAAAACAAATTAAAAAAGTGTGTTGCCATTTTCCCTAAATTTTATTTATAAATTTGAACAATAAAAAAGTATTTTTAATCTATAAAAAATTATACTTCAAGTTCTTATTATAAATTGGAGATAAAAATTATTTTTTTAGCAAATTAAATAGATTATAAGTACTTTTTATAAGTTATAAATAATTTATTTTCCAAAAGTATAAAATAATTAATTGTTATAAAAAAAGGTGCTGTTGAATTTTAATTCCAGACTTGTTATTTTATAATCAGAACTTGTTATTTCCAAATGTATTGTTGTTATCACTTAAAACAAAGTGTGTTGTTATAAAAAAAAACATGTTAAATTTTAATCCCAGACTTATTATCTTATAATCAGAACTTGTTATTTTTAAATGTATTGTTGTTATCACTTGAAATAAAGTGTGTTGTTATAAAAAAAACGTGTTGTTAAATTTTAATCCCAAACTTGTTATTTTATAATCAGAACTTGTTATTTTTAAATGTATTGTTGTTATTGCCTGCAACAAAATTTGTTGTTATAAAAAAAACATATTGTTAAATTTTTATTCCAGACGTGTTATTTTACAATCAGAACTTGTTATTTTCAAATGTATTGTTGTTATCACCTGGAACAAGAGTAAATGAGTTAACTTATATTTTTTTTTTGCATCATAATGTTAATAAAAATTTGTTGGCTCAATGGTCATTCCTTATTTTGGAAAGCATTAGGTTAGGGGATCAAATCCCCCCAACCTCACTTTCCCCCAATTAAAAAAAAAAACAAAGGAAGACCGCCGGAAGCGGCCGCCGGCGCCGGAGCTCCAGCACCGGTAGCCGGATTCCGGTGAGGCAGTGGCTTTCTTTTTTAAAAAAAAATAAAATTAAAGAGGGGTATTTTGGTAATTTGGCCATGATTTCATAATTACAATTTGAGACCGGGTCCCTCATAATAATTTAGCATATTCAGGTGACTATAGAGTGATTTTGCTAATTCGAGAGTCTTTATTTGTGATTTCCCCTTTTATCAATTTAAGCCCGCTAAAGTAAAATGGCTTGTTAACCTATCAAATCACCTCTTCTCTTTAAGAAAAATATTTAGTTTTTAATTATTTTTAGATATTAAGTCCAAATTATTTTTATATTTTCATATAGTTAATTATTCTATTAATATAAAAACAACATACATCTCCTAATAAAGATTCAAACCTTAATTTCTCGTATTGTTGAGAACTAGTCCTGTCTGTTAAACCCAACCTTCAGTTCAAGTTAAGTGCAAAACAATAAACTTGTTATCAAACGTAAAGAAAAGCAAGCCCAAAGATGTACTATGTGGGCGCGGGTTGGAATATGATCTCCGAAAGCCTAGACTCTTCAACGTCTCAGGTCAACGGTACCGAACATTCACAATACATTTAGCTACGCAACAATACCAAGGGATAATAATACGAAGGAAGCAATCCAACGGATCTCCCCTTATTCCATCCTAAATGACTCATGGGGAATAAAACAAAGCATCAAAAAGATAAATATCACATGATCACCAGTATCAAATCCCATAAGGTATATATAAATGAATACAACCTCCTTCATAGATTTTATTACGAGGGACGATGGAAAAAATTGCTCCTCCAAATAACGATATAACCACAAGAATCAAGGATTCACTTCAGCTATTGAGTATGTCCTCACACACTTCAGCTTGTTATTGAAAGAATAAACCTTTCCTGGTGACAAACTTGCCGAGACTTTTGCTCCCCTATAATGTAGTCTCACCTGGGAATTATGGTTTTCTGACCAAAGGCCAACTTCATGCATGTCTCCTTCTTTCCAGCAGATGTTGACTGTCACTCCGCCACGTGCTTTCAATCCTTTTACACAACCATTGGCCCATTTATCCCTAGGCAAAGCAGGAAGCAAGTAGAGATCCTTTACTGTGCTTTGTACAAGCATTTCCGCAATCGCTGCTGAAAACCTGACACCCAAAAAAACAAAAATGCAGAATAAGTTTGTTGCTGCAGATTACAGATACCTTAAAATATCACTCCATCTGAAATCAGATGAGAGAGGGACAGAAAATTCAGTCCATAAAATTAATCAGAAAATAGTTTTTTTGATGAGTAAAAACTGTTTTGTAAGGTCATAGCCCTGAACAACATGCGACAATTGAGTGTAACTAACTAGACCCTCATAATCTTTAATACGGCAGAACTGGAATTTTTTTTTTTTGGGGGGGGGGGGTTTTACTGTACTTCACTTTAAAAAACTTACCCAAAGTTGGCATCAATCTGAAAAGGAGGATGTGCAGTAAACAGATTGCTGTAAAGTCCTCCTTCATAATTCGCTTCATGGTCAGGGTCCACTAAGTCAATCAAATGTTTTACCATGCGATATGCATGCTCACTGTTATGAAGACGAGCCCACAGTGCGGTTTTCCAAGTAGTTGACCACCCTGGACCTTCTTCACCTGCAGCATTGTGCAAGAACATCAACCAATGATATTTTGCTAGATAACAGAACCAAGCTTCACACATATAAACATTTGAGCATAGATATAGTAGTTTTAATCTGACTGCGCCGTCTTTCAACTAGTGAACATTCAAATAATCTTCTAGATGAACAACATAGAGACCTTATAGTGGCAGATGATCTAAATCCCATTGCATTTAATACCTCGGTCCAACATGACCTTAAATTCACAAGTTCTAAATCTTCCAAGGCATAGCTTATCAACAAATAAATATAACAACTCAATGCACGAAAGAATTTGGCTTCTAAAGTTCTCATGGTAAACCTCGTTTATATAGACTATAATCCGCATCTTTGCAGAGGTCTGGGTTTTTCTCAACAGTTATTGTGTGCCCTGGAAACAAGCCGAAGAGGTGTGAAACATGTCGATGATGTACATCTGGGTCCTGAAAATCTTCTGCCTGCCATATACACAAAATGATGTTTACCTTGAAAAGCGATTACTAACCTGCATTAGAACAATATACTGAAGAAGAAAGGGGGGGGGGGGGGAAAGGATGCCCAACTTCCTCACCCACTCCATGATGGAACCATCCCGAGCAATCTTGGTTGGTAAAAGCTTAGACTGAGCCTCCATTGCTCTCTTGATGATATCATCATCATCTCTTCCCAAAACCTGTTCATAAGAATCATTTACTGTCAACAATAAAATTAGGATAATTGTTAACTACAATTGGTCTGAGTACTAACATCATAATCACCTTAGCAGCAGAAACAATGTCAGAGAAAACTTCTCTAATGATTGACATGTCCATGGTCGATGAGTAGCTCACACTGGCCTGCTTTCCATCTGGGGCAATGAACATGTGCTCTGGGGAAGTTGATGGGTTGGTTTCTAAGAATCCACCCCGGCCTTCAATTAACCAATCCAACAAAAATAACGTACATCCTTCCATCAAAGGGTATGCTTTATTTTTAAGGAAATCCTAATGTAAAAGAAACACCAGACATCACTTGTGCAAATCTTGGTTTTCCGCACGTAATAACAACAGTGCAACACAGAGCAAATATAATTCACAATATAGTAATATTTATAAATAAACAGACAAAAATATATATGGACTATAAATAAAGAAATCGCATCCCTCACTATCTCAGAAGTCTACAGGACCATTAATTAAACAGCAGCAGATAAGTTGCATCTTTACCAACATGTTGCAATAAAATGAGACTCCAATCATGTCCCTACATACAGTTCTACTTTTAAAACATTTTTTCAATGTACCCCAGTGTCTTCCTAAAGCTGTTAGTAGACATAGCAAAACGGAGACGCTATTTAAAGCAGTGAAATCTACTGTGACAGTAAAACACAGTAAAAGAAAATGATTTTGCAGCTTTATCTTTTTGCCCTCTTACTTTCGAAGAGCCTAATCTCAATATCAAATAAATCAAGCATGAACTTAGTAGAGTAGTTTGGCATGCAAAGAACCCTCATCTCTAACAACTATCTTAGTCCCTGACGTGAGCAAATTTGACAACTCGGAGAGAATTAATATGGCCAACTCCCCCTACACTTCTCTTTATACAAGGTGACTTTTGTGTGAAGGATTTTAAGTCATAAATGCCTGGATAATATATTGAATACTCAGAACTTACTTTATCCATTGTATAGGTATAATGTTCCCACAGATGGGTACAAAGCCAAGCTCCACCCATTGGCCATAACGCCCAAACAGCTTCACCACGATCTGGAGATGTCTTAGCCCATATGTCAGACACTTGATGTGCGACCCAACCATTTGCTTCATAGTTCACCTGTACTGGGGATCAGAGGATTAATATTTTTGGGATAGAATATATAAATTTTTCCACATGGAAGCCAGCTGCTAAACAAAATGGCAATTTCTTAGTCTCTGCCCCTTTACAATAAAATTGTTCCCTGGCTAGGTATTGTGATGGCATTATTCAATAGTAATGGAAAACTGTTCTAGTCTAATGTTAAACTTCATAGAATAATACAAACTCATGGATAGGCAATGAAGGATCTTTTCCTTGTACCAGTGAAGCAAGATATGAAATGGACAGCATAAAGAAGGAATTACCTTTGCAGTTTTACTTCCACTGACAGCCAAAGAGGAAATGAAGTCAAATAATGGCTCTTGGCACTCGTGTAGGTTGCAAGGAAGGGCTGGCCAATAATTCATTTGAAGATTGATGTTCAAGTGAGGTGCACCACTGAATCACATGCCAAAAGAGAGAGAATTCATATTATGTTTCAACTTTCACATCAGGTCTTGATGGAAATATTTTCTGGATATAAAATTGATATTCCATATCCTTTTAACAACCTGCTGTAGAACTGGCTAGGGAAAAAGGGGGAGAGGAAGGAGAAAGAGCGGGAACAAAGAAGGAATGAGCAAAATCAAAGGAATAAACCAACAATCATGTTTATAACATTTCAAAAAACTATCACACAACTAGTGACAGGCTATTTATTAGGAGCTCACAACAAGAAAGTAAAATAGATAAAAATAAAAAATAAAACAGAACGCATTATTAGGGGAAAACAGAAAAAAAGGCTTTTAAAGATTTCAAAAGTTCCAAGATGCAGTACTTCCCACACCTAAAGTAAGTTTCCACAATTATCCATCAAAACCTTAAGCCACCTTATCATTAAGCTGTACCATAAGCATACTATTAGTTTTTTCTTCTGGAGAAGAGTTAGGCAAAGAAGGGGAAACATACTCCCATGCAGGTTCAATGTCTTTGTTCCATATGCCCTGCAGATTTGCCGCCTGAGTTCCAGGACGTGAACAAGAAATTAGCAGATATCTACCATATTGAAACAAGAGCTCCACAAAAGAAGGGTCTTCATCAGTTTTAAAAGATTTGACCCTTGCTGCAGTTGGAACAGTATCACTGGCCCCCATTTGAGAACTGTTACCAAGAGAGGACTCTGATTTCCTCTTGTCCAAAACATTCCTGGAGCTCTTGGAGAGTTGCAACGAGACACGATGAAACAGATTCTGATAGTCATCCAAGTGATGCGCATAAAGATCACTATACGATAAATTTTGAATTGACTTCATTTTGCCTGTGGACTCAGAAGTAGGGTCCTTCTTAGAGTCTTTGGGCTTAGTAAAAGGGCCATCAAAAGAAGAAGCCGCTGTCAAAAGCAGGATAGCCCAATCTGAACCTTCGACTCTCAGCTTCTTATCCTCTAAAACATGTACAGTTCCTTTTCCGCTACTAATCTGCAAATTAAGAACTGCACAGAATTGAACTCCCTTTGGATTGTCATCAGAATTCACTTTTGGCGGCTTCCTCTTGCCAGGACAACTTCCCTCCATAATTATCTGATTTTGGCCTCTAACCTGCGAACTGTAAGGTAATTTGCTATCCAGAGACACTGTAAATGATAAGGACTCTGATTTGCTGGCAGAAATCCTTGTCACTATCACTTGATCTGGATTAGAAGCAAAATGTTCTCTGGTAAATTCTACATCACCAACAGAGTATTTTACTGTTGCCGTTGCATTATCCAAATCCAATTCCCTGTAATAAGTCTCTTTTGAATATGCAAGATGAGACTTATCGAATTCCAACTTGATATCACCAAGGAGTTGATAAACCTTCATAACAAGAAATTACGGTGAGGAATGAATCTAATGCATATAAAGCCTTCTTAATTCAAACTTCTACTGAAAATCAATTGGTAACTAACTGAACAAGCATTCAAGCAAAAACATCGGTAGCCCAAGAATGGGAATGATAGTTGTGTAGATGCGTGTTACTAGTCTCCTTATCTTATGGTTATGTCACTAGCATACAACAGTGGCAAATTCAAGTAGAATATTCACCCCGAAGTTACAGCTATCACTATGTACAATAGATAAAGAGGTCTTGCTAAACTCTCCATCTCTCAATGACCCCCACTCTTGCATGCACAAATAAAGAATTAATAAAAGACAGTGAAGATTAACAAACAAGTATTAGGCATTATTGTCCAATCCGTTACAAATCTAACTTTACAGACAGCAGCCATCTCTTATTTCTTTACTTTCACCCATTTTTCCTCTCTTCAGTTCTGGAAATCCAAGAGGATTGAAGAGTTATAGAAGACCCGCATTTGTTCTTTTTAACTATTTCAAGATAACAAAATCAATATAAAGTAGATGCAATCGGTTTTAAGATGTATTTGTATTACTTCATGTCTGGACCAGGAGAAATGGTTTCAGAAACGTGATCATGTATATTGTTGGAATAGAGCAATAAAACAAGATATTTCACACTGTATTGTAAATTTTGTATAGAGTCTGCTAGGAGGAAATAAAGTTTCTTCTGTGATAGGTTGTATAGGATAGGCTTTTCATAAGCCATAATTACCTAGGTTCATATTCTGTGTATATATACCTTCTTTTCAGATGAAATAAACAAGCATTTGAATAATTTATCTTCACATGTATCTACAGTTTCCATCCAATCTAGTTTTCCCTTTCCCCTCTCCCTATATAATATGCATCCCCCGAAATGAGAGTCGAAAAATAACATCAGTCCAATTTAGACAATCCTAAACTTTGATTAGGGGCAGATAATAATAGCAATAAGATTTTACATACTTCAGAAGGATCTCCCGACAACTTGACTGCTGCTGCTGTTGCTTCAGTGTATTTGCCATCGTCAACAAGTTTTCTGACTTCAGCAAGTGCTGGTGGAGCATTTTTATTGGTGTAGTCACCAGGGTTTCCAGTCCAAAGTGTGTCCTCTATAAAAGAAAGCCACATCTTGAAGTAATTATGCTAAATACTCGAAGAAAGAGAGCAAAGAGATTTTAGTATCCAGAACACATGATCCCATTATCCTTAAAATCTTGATATAATGAATTTACAACTCAGAATGCCTATAGTATTTGCCATTTATGCAAAATACGGAAACTGCTGAGAAGATTATTCTTGCGGAATCCAACAAAAACACCAGATTCTCGTATTAAAGGATGTGGAGTCCAAAGAGTAAAGACATAATGCGGTCATCCAATTAGATCTTCTTGGCCCTTTAAAGTTACTGTTCCAAAAAAATTGAATAATCAGAACAACCAAGAAAAACCAAAGCATAGAATCTACTATGTATTTTGCTTCCCGTGTTAAACAGCCTACGGGTCAACGAATTACAAGGACCATCGACCGCAATGTATCAATTAACTGTTTCGAGAGACTAAGTTCCATAGGTCCATAAGGAAAGCGTAATTAAAGAATTCGTTGTGGTGAAGAGGCATGAGACCTTGGCATAGAAAGGAAGAAACACAGAAAGAAAAGCAAGACTCTTTGAATTAGCTTTTCAAGAGCAATTCCCTTTAGCAGCTATAATGAAGTCCCAGATATTCAAAAAGTCTCGTTCTCATTGTCATTTGAACTAAAGAACTAACAAATCCAAAGCCAGTTGGGCTCAAAGCAAGAAGGTCGCGATGTTTACTTACCATTGAGCTGGAGAACCTCTGAAGCAACGCCACCCCAAACCATAGCACCAAGCCGGCCATTGCCGATAGGAATAGCATCAGTCCAATGCGAAGCGGGGCCAGAAAAAGTAAGCTTCAACGGCCTAGAAGGCTCATCCTGTGCATCACCCAAAGAAGTTGGGTTCCACCAGTCTTTTTGCGGGGGTCTTTGCACCAGAACCCACTCTGCATCCTCCATTAACAGGGGAAAAAATGGTATCAGCGAGTGTGAATGAGGGTGAGAGAGCAATGCAACTGGAAGTGGCACTGAGTCGGTGGCGGTGACAAGTGAGAGAAAGAAGCAGGTGGGGTAGCTTCGAAACGGAGCCCGTTTGCATTGAACGGAAGAAATGAAGAGGACCCCACTTGAGTCGTATTTTAATTTCATGTCGCCGGCTCGCTACTCCCTCCTAAAAATGGAGTAGCTAGATAAATAGATTACGTACTGGCCCCCAAAAAACTGTGATAGAGAATTATAATCAGGTTTTAATAATATGATTTAATTATTTTAAAGTTTATTGACAAATAATGAGTAGGTAATGACAAATTTTAAAATAAAAAATAACAACAAGTTCTTGATTGTTTGCTATTGAAATTTTTTAATTATTAAATTTTTTTCTTAAAATTTTTTGGTAATCACCATTTATATCTTTTATATTTGTTTCCACTCACTTTCCTCTCCTTTCAGGCACAGGATTAGTAATTAGAATAGGATTTATTATGAGCCTTTATTTTTTTGAACAATTTAAATTACTAGTTATTAATTATTCAACATAGTGTTTGAATTGAACCCAAATTAATATTACTATCAATCATAATAAAAATTGATATATTTTTATTATTTACGGATATAGGTAACGTGAAAAAAATTCAGACAAGAAGAAGGGAGTGAAGTCGGAGAAAAGTAAAGCTGGCAAAGTCCGAGTAAGATAAGGGTGTGCGCCGAAAACAAGTAATGGGCACCCTTCTGTGACGTGGCAATAGCAGCAGAATCATGAGTCACGAGCGAGACCCGAGATTGATTCCTTCTTTTTTTTTTGGCTGCAAGACCTGAGATTGATTCTCGCTCTTCAAAAATATCACTTTCCCTTCTGCCTCACGTCCCCCAATCAAGCCCAGCCCAAACCCAAAGAGCAGTTGGACAAATTTCTTCTGATTCTTAATATAATACTCCTCTGGTCCTTAATATAGGACTCAATTTTTGAGTTAGTTTTGATCCTAAATATAAGACCCATTTTTCATATTTATCAATTTTCTCTAAATTACCCCTATAGATACTCCCTCAACCATAATCAAGTAGAAGAGGGAGAGGAGGTATTAAGAAAGATGATTATGGTGTTTTAGGAAAAATGTGTCACTTTTCTTATAATTAACTAACTTACCTAACTTCCTTAATCTAGTCAAATTAGTTAAACGGGTCTTATATTAAGGACCGGAGGAGTATTTATTTAATTAATTTAATTAGATTAAAAAAATTAGATAAGTTAGTTAATTATAGGAAATATAACATGTTTTTTTCTAAAACACCATAATCATTTTCATTAATATTCTTCCTTCATCTTCTATTTGATTATGGTTGAAAGAATATCCATAGCGATAATTTAGAAAAAAAATTATAAATATGAAAAATATGTGTCATATTTAGGATTAAAATTAACTTAATAATTAGATTCTATATTAAGGATCGGAGGAGTAATATATTCCATTCGATTATTCAGACAATATTGGCTCCAGTTACTAATGGAATTATATTTAAGCAAAAAAAGTTAGTTCCTCACCATGTGACAAAAAGTTCAAATTCTTGTTAAAAGGATTACTCAACAATACTTCAGATATAATTACAACAGAAAGATACATGTAGTTAGCAAAGAAAATATTTGCTCTAGTTATTAAAGAGTTGGATATAAGATTACATTCTCATAACATGTCCAAAGAACATCTATATTTTTGTTTAGAGAGATTCTTATATTTAGTGCTTAACAATCTCTCAAACAGGATTGCTTCCTATGGATGATAATTATGCCTTGAAAAATTATAAATATAAAATATAAAGTTGCTCGTGGTTGGCTCATATATTTATAAAAAAAAGGAGCTAGTAATATTTTTTTTTTAATCATCCTCCTTGGGGAAACCAGTGATGTCCAGAAAAATTAAAAATTCAGCATGTTCCTTAACGAAGAAGTTGATGTTCTAGTATTTGCTATAACTGGTAAATGTCGGTGTACGCAATGATATAATAAAATGTTAAAAATGCAAAGATTTTGGATAGACAAAGGCGGAGACATATAAAACCTCGTTTGCCAGTAATGTACGTATATGTTTTAATTTGAAAATCATTTTATAGGACAGACTACAGAGCCATCTGCAGTTCTGCACAGATTATTATATTTAATTTCGATTTTAGCAAACAGACGAATCACGATGATACGTGCTCGTGGTGGAAGAGGCGATCTACACGGGTTACCCCTCCGAATAAAATGGCGCGTCTTCCAATTTATTCGTCCTGAGAATGTCATCGAATCACTCTAATTTATTTTTATCTCGACAAAATAATATTTCCCGTGTATGGATTATAAGATATTCTTAATTACTACCTCTGGTTTTTAATATAAGATTTTATTTGATTTTTATTTTATTTTTAAATATAAGATCCAAATTCACGTTGTCTCTAATATTTATATATTTTTTAAGATAGTTCTTCTAATAATAATAGTTCTAACCAACATACTTGATTAATAAGAATACTTTGAAAAAGACAACACTTATTTATTACAAATAAGTAACTTAACTTATTTTATAATCTTCTCAAATTAGTCAACTAGCTCTTATAATTAAAATCGGAGGTAGTATTTTGCTTTAGTTTATATATAATTTATTTATTTTGTCTTTAATTTGTCAAAAAGCACCTTAGTTAATGGTCAGTTTTTCTAATAAAAGTTCATCATTAATTAAAGTAGATCCTATTAAATATTAGGAATTTGAAGATGAGCAGCACAAATATTCGGTAAATGAATTACAAATAATTAATTTAATTAATTTTTTATTATTAACAAATTAATTTTTTTGAGCTGAATAATACTTCATTTATTTCAAAATCAAAGGGAAAACTGCGCTGACCAATAACCTGTAATAGCCAATGTCAGCCGAAAAAATACAATCAGAACCAACTAATTAGCCTACACTAGTCCTGCTCCTGTTAGAGATTGCCAGACTTTGGAGATCTCTTTGCAAAACCAGCAACAAAGAAGATGGTGGCTGAGTTAGCCATCCTGAGGGAACCATTCTTCTCAAAGCAACGGCTGCAAGATGATCAGCAGCTTCAATCCCTGCACATTTCCTTTTAAAAAGAGCCTCCTTATTTGCAATAGCCCCAACTGCAGCACGCCATAAAAAATGCATAACTTGTGGTGGCATCCTAATTTTCCAGATACAAGTCCACAAATGCTTTGAAGGTACAGATGAACCACCAGGATCATTTCTACCTCCAACCTGCGACTTATTTATAACTCCTTTACAACCCATTTTTACTGAGTAATCACCATCCCTGCTGTGTAGCTACATCAATCTATTAACTGACTGAGGCACTGGCAATATCTAATTCTACTAATACAGCACTTCTCTTCCTCATTCAAGCACCCTTCCACCCTTTCAAAATTCCACACTCCATGTCTGATCAAATCTTTAACAACCAAATTAGCCGTATCATTGGATAAAGCCCTACTTCTCAAACCATAACCTTCAATATAGGGAATCCACCTATCAGAGAAAACTTTAATATTTTCTCTCCCCTCCTATCTTCCAACACAAGCCATCTCTAAGTAATTCCCTCCCTTCCAAAATACTTGACCAGCCCACGATGCTCTACTACCCCTCTTGGCCTGCATAAAGTCATCATTTGAAAAATATTTTCCCTTTAAAATCCTACACCGCAGAGCTTCAGGATTTTGAAGTGATCGCCAAGCCGTTTTGCCCAAGAGTGCTTTATTAAACATTTCTAGGTCTCTAAAACCCAGACCTCCTTCACTTTTGCTCTTGGTTAATGATTTCCATGCCTTCGAGTGAATCATGCCCTCCTGTCCTTTCTGACCCCACCAAAAATTAGCCACCATACTATAATACCTCCCTCCCAGCAAATGTTAATAACTTTTGCTTCCTACCTTGAATTAAAATGTTTTAAGAATGAAGGAGATTGTTGTTGTTGTTATATAATTTTTATCTGTATATGTTAAATTTTTTTAAAAATATTTTAGTAAATCTCATAATTGTGGTGGGCTATACCAACCAAACATGCTAGTGTAAACAACATACAAATTACAAAGCACTAGCGGATGCATGTGGATGATTAGAATGAGTTTCTTATCATTATTGTTTCATTGTGCATATTGATCCATTGATAATATTTTTGGGGAACAATTTTCTATGTAGTTAGGGGTGATACGAGACTAGAGAATATTGCTTAATATTGAAAAATTGGGAAGAAAGCAAAGAATTAATTTTCAAAACATCTCCTACAAAATTTATTTTATATTTTACGAGATAAAATAAAACTCACCTTACATGTTCACTAGATGGGGGTGTCAGCTATGCCCCTCTCAACTGCCCCTCATTTTAGGGGTTCTTCCCAATTTTTTTCCATGGCTTTGCATCATTAGATTCTATATAAAATAAATAAAATATTGATATCTTACGGGCAAAAAATAGTTCAATTTTCATTTTTTAATGATTTTTTAAAGATTTAATGTTTCAAGTGGTTCAGTTTGTTTAATTTAGAATGTTAAATCTTTGAAAAATCATAAAAAATTGAAAACGAACCATTTTTTTGCTCATAAGATATTAAAATTTTACTCATTTAATGCAGAATCTAAAAATGTAAAGACATAGAAAAAAAAGGAACATTTCAGAATGGCCCCAAAAATGAGGGGCGGCTGAGAGGGCACAACTAATGCTTTCAGGTCCCATGTTGACCTCATATGTCATAAAATCACTTAAAATAAACCAAACCAAATGGTAGTGTTGAAAGAATTACCAAAACTTGGATGGATTATAGATTGGACATATGGGTGAATCAGTCAACATTTATATGTGGAGGCCTCATATGAGATAAGAATAATAACGGGAAATGTGGCTTCATAAAGGAATTGTGATATTTCCCCATTCCCACTGCAGAAATGACAGGTATTAGAGAATTTTTGAAGCTTTTGCTGAAACCGAGGCAAGAGACCTAATCATGTGTGAGATTAAGAGCTGTGTGTGTGTGTATGA